TTATTATCTAAAAAGAATTATTGACTTTCAAAATGACTACTCAGTAATTAATTAAAGTGCATTAAGTTTCGAAATTCAAAAAAAAAAATTTAGTTTACTTTACTTTACTTGACCACGCCGAATTCGTAACTAACAAAATTTAATCAAAGGCAAATTTAGAAAAGTATGAAAATTATTAGATTAAATAGAAAGAGAACATAATATACGAAACAGTAACTGCACTTTCTGAATTAACTTGTACAGTGATCCCACATCTCGGCCATCCTACTCATCGTCTGTCCCAGACGAGAAGTGTTCGCTTTCCAAATTTGTTGAATCAACTTCATCATTCTGGACCCACGGTTTCATCATATCTGCAGATGATGTCGTTAGATTCGGACCTTCATGTAAACCTGGTTTTCGCAAATCGTGTCTATCTTTTTTCTTGGCTCTTGTTGCTTCATATGGTCCAAGAAATTTTGTAAACAATTTTAAATTTGCGCCGAACTGAGTTCTTCTAATAGCTACTAAAGCTTTAATTTTATATTTTTTACAAGGTTTTCTTCTTTTATTGTATGTTTTAATATTTTGCTGTTGTGTCTTTAGTATATTTGCTTTTGCTTCTTGTCTTAGTGCATTTCTTTTTTCTTCAAACTGCTGTACCATTACTTCTTCAATTTGTTTAGCCAACTTAAGATCTTCCGCATTTTTCATTTTTACCCCAAACATAAGTTCGAAAGGGCTTTTATTTGTACTGCAATTTATGTTAGAGTTTATGAATTTTAGAACTTGAGGAACGTGAACATACCATTTTAAAGGATTTTCTATTGACATCTTGCGTAAAATTTCTATTATGGTTGCGTTTTGCCGTTCGACTTGGCCATTTCCGAACTCCGGCGGTAATACTTATGTGTGTAATGTTGTTTTTGTCGCAATAATCGTTGAAATCACTCGAGGTGAATGCGGTGCCTTTATCAGTGATTATTCTGTTAGGATTTCCGAAGACAATTGCTTGTAGATGCAATTTTTGTAAAACTTCATCTGTTGTTATAGACTTGATAGCATTAATCTAACAAAATTTGGTAAAAGCATCTGTTACAACAAAAAGATATTTATAGTTCTTAGCTGTTGCTGCTAACAGGCCAACATGATCAGTATGATATGTATTTAGTGGTGTTTCTCCTTTATCTATTACGTTTGGATAAACTTCTTGTTTTCCACTTTTTCTTGACGCTAAAATACAAGCAATACAATTGCCAATAAAAGATTTTATCTTTGAGTTTAATTTTTGTATATAATAATCCTGACTTAGAATTGCTGATACTTTTTTGCTATTAATATGTCCTCTATTATGCACATCATGTAACATATTAACTCACGCTCTAAGCATTTAGGAACTACCAGTAGATTTAAGCCATTTGAAAACTTGTATAAAATATTATTTTTTATAAAAAAGTCGCCATATTGTTGCTTTTCAAGAATGGTTGATATCAATTTGCAAAATTTATCACTCTTTTGAGCTATTTCTAATCTTTGAAGAATACCTGATTCAATTTTCATTACAGCGGAGCATCTGCTTAGCGCGTTCAACATGTCGCATTGAGGTTCGTGATTTATGAAGAACAGTACAATCAAATTCCTGCATCATTATAGCCCATCTGGCAATCCTGGTGCAAATATTCTTTTTATTCATAGTGGCTTGAAAAGCCTTGCAATCGGTGTATATTGTAAATTTTAGACCTAGTAAGTACGGTCTTAACTTCGTGTTCATAGCAAGTATAGTTCTTTTGTGCCGGAGAAGTTTTAAAACTTAAATAAAATACAGGATGAAAATCAGCGTTATGCTTTTGTAATAAAATAACCGTAAACATCAAAGCTGGCATCCGTGTGAAGCTCAGTGTCCAAATCGGGATTAAATCATTTCAAAACCGGTTCTTTACAAAGTAATTCTTTTAATGTGTGAAAAGATGTCAGTTGTACTTCCTTAAATTCGAAAACTGAGTTTTTCTTCAAAAGGTCGGATAACGGTTTAGCAATAATTGCAAAACTTTTAATGAATTTCTGGAAATAACTCGTTAATCCAAGAAAACTCTGAGCATTGTTAATAGATTTTGGAACAGGATATGATTTGACTGCGTTAATTTTTTCTTCCAAAGGTTTGATAAAGCCGTTTTCGATTACATGCCCAAGAAATTTTATTTGCTTACTTAAAAATACATATTTTTCCCATTGAAGTATTAAGCCATTTGATTTTGCTATGTTTAGTACGCTTTGAAGTATATCTATGTTTTCTTCTTCGTTTCTGGTTGGAATTATGAGGTCATCTATATATACGATTACTAAATTTGCTTGAATTAAAGTTTTAAAAACAGGGTTGATAAATCGCTGAAAAATTGGAGGTGAATTGCAAAGTCCGAAAGGAACTTTCACAAATTCAAATTTTTAGTAATGAATGAAGTGTATTTTCGGCTTTTTTCGTGAATATCGACATGAAAAAATCCATTTTTTAGGTCGAGAGTTGTGAATATAGAAGCATTGTACAGTTTTTCTAAAAGTTCTTCTATTAGACTCAAAGGATATCTATCTTTAATAATTTTTTCATTTAATTTGCGATAATCCACACAAAGTCTGCTACTGCCATCTTTTTTATACCCTGCACTTCGGTATATTAACTTTGTTGTGGAGTTTGTAACTACTTGAAGGAGTCATCTGCGGTATGGACATATATATATATTCTTGCTCAGCGTAAAATTCTGCGTCGATTTAGACAAGTCCGTCCGATCGCACGATAACTCAAAAACTAATAATGCAATCGACACTAATTCTATTGTTATTGGACTAATTCGGACAACGGGTTCGGGTAGCTGCCATACAACTCAAAGAGTTTATTTTAAATATTTCAAAAACTAATAAAGCTATAAATATAAAATTTTGTATACATGTGTCCAATTATATTCTATATATGCTCTTAAAATTATAATGGGATAGCTGCACCGGGTCGGGTGGCTGCCATATAACTCCAACAGCAAACTTTTCATATTCGGAAAAATAATAAAGTCAGATTCATGAAACTTGGCAGTCATGTGTCCAATTATAGGTCAAATATATTGCTGAAGTTTTAGAGGAATTGCTTGACAGGTTCGGGTACCTGCCATACAACTCCAGAAGCTAATTTTAAATATTTGGAAAAATAATAAAGTCAGATTCATGAAACCTGGCAGTTGTGTGTCGAGTTATAAGCCAGATATATTTCAGAAGTTTTAGTGGAATTGCTTGACAGGTTCGAGCAGCTCCCATACAAGTCCAAAAGCTTCTTCTTAATATTTAAAAAAATAATAAAGTCAGATTCTTGAAACTCGGCAGTTGTGTGTCCGATTATAGGTCAAATATATTGCTGAAGTTTTATAGGAATTGCTTGACAGGTTCGGGTACCTGCCATACAACTCCAGAAGCTAATTTTAAATATTTGGAAAAATAATAAAGTCAGATTCATGAAACTTGGCAGTTGTGTATCGAGTTATAGGCCAGATATAATTCTGAAGTTTTAGTGGAATTGCTTGACAGGTTCGGGTACTTGCAATACAACTCCAAAAGCTAATTTTAAATATTTGGAAAAATTATAAAGTCAGATTCATAAAACTTGGCAGTCGGATGTCCAATTATAGGTCAGACATATCCGTGAAGTTTCTATAGACTGATTTCACAGGTTCGAGTAATTACTATACAATAACGAAAGGTACAGGGTATAATTCAATCGGTTTATACCGACTGAAACGTTTTCAAAATCGAAATTATAATTATCTTGTACTGGATCGGTTTGTATAATTTTTAGATTTCCTTTTCGCAACACCAAAGTAACATTTTCTAAAAAGTTTTTCCCCAAAATTATATTGTCTGTAATCCAGTCATTTGGTACCACATGAAATTTAATTTATGCTTTACAGATTTGACGTCAGTAATAACAAAAAATGATCCCAATGTTTGCAATATGTTATTACCAAAACCTCTAAGAATAATTCTAGGTTCTTCGAAAGATGATATTCCTAATAAGTCTTTCAAAGACTTTTATTATGATGGTTGCTATTGTTTTTAATACGATTAACATTTCCTGTGGTGTTATTAGATACGAATTTTTTAGGACAGTTTAAAGATATGTGCCCGAAATTGTTACAATTGAAGCAGCGTGTACCTTTTTCTTTATTAGGACAGTTTTGAGAACTGTGCGAAAGCGCCCCACAATTTTTACACCTCATGTTCGATTGGTTTGGCTTTGCTTGATTAGCATTATTGAAAAACCAATTAGTATTTGCAACTGGATCTGTTCTCGTTTTCGAAACATAATTTTGCTGAGCATTTTTGATGTTAGAGTGAACTTAAAATTTATTTTTAATTCGTCTAAGTGGCTTCAAACAATACAGTTTTGTTGATGTTGGTATACCAACCATTTATAATGTAAATAACTAAAGATTCTTCGTCTATTGTTGCCTTATTTGCTATATATTTCATTTCCTACAAATATTCGAGAAAAGTTTCAGAAGCTTGCTTTTTCCTTTTCTCGAGTGTTCTGTGAATTTCTATGCAAGAAGCAGGTTTTGCGAATTCATTTGCTAATATATCTTTTACTGTTTTATAAGAAAAAGTGTTAGAATTTGCTTCAATAGCTAATTTTGCAGCACCTTGCAATAATTTACGGATATAAAGATATTTTTAGATATCATTCCATTTACACATTTGCAAAATATCTTCAAATTTTTGAATCCATTTAGCAAAACTCTTTCCTGACTCTCCCGAAAATTTTTTAAGGGCATCTTCAACGTCTCTGAAGGTAAATTGATTCTGTTCGGCCATACCTATTTTATGTGTACTTTTCTCGATTTCACTATTCTTATGCTTTTCGTTGCTTTACTTTCGTTATCACTTTCCTTACTTTCTTCTTTATTGTGAAAAACTTTACTTGCTTTGGTAACTTCCTTATCGGGACCCAAAACCGCACTGTCACCTCCTAGTGGTGGGCCCCGATAATGGCGGAGGATAAAGAGGTGATTGAAGCGATCAAAGTTACGTTCGTGTCGTGGTCATGTCTCGCGGCGAGCTTCTTGCTTTGTGAGTTTCAGCCCTATGTCTATACGTCAGCTGACGACAGGCGTCCCAAGTCAATGTGGAACAGCATATGGCGATGACTGCGTGGCTAAGGGGGAGCTTAGTCGTTAGTATGCGGGCTCTGGATACCAGGCGCCCTCCAGTTTAAACGAGCCTTCCCATGGTATGTCGGGCTCTGCCTTGGGTGACTATACTTTCCCGCGCTATTCGTGGGAACAAAAATGGAGAACATAAACAATAACAACAATAACAGCAATCACAAGAACAACAACTGTGACAAATACAACAACTGCAACAACAACAACAACAACAGCAACAACAACAACAATAACAACAACAATAACAACAGTCACAACTACAACAACAACAACAATATTAAGGACAACATTAATACAAACACAGTTAGTGCTCAAAGGTCTGCGGAACTAGAGCTTCTCTCGACTGACGCAGAGGAGGAACTCCTTCTCACGCCAGTAGAGGAAAAAGCGGCGCCTCCGATGGAGACTGATAATCAGGATCCTCTAGGACCTATTATCCAACAAACTGAGGAGGACCTGAAAAGATTGGACATCAGGGGAAAAAACAATATTTCTCTGGTGCATCCAAGCGGCGTACCGCGGCTTATATCAGGGATGGCATGTCCCCAGAGGAAGCTCGTAGATATGAGAAGGAAAGGCTAGAAAAGCTGAGGGCCTGTGGATCGGGCCTTGTGGCGGCCCATCCCCAGAAGGGGGAAAGGTCAGAAAGCAACACCCCTGATGCAGGGCCCTCTAAAAGGAGGTCTATGAAGGGCAAAGTTGAGGGAAAGGTCCCTGGCAACATTCCTCAACAAAACCCGAAAATGACTTCCGAAATACTTATCGGGATGCAGTAGCACAGGTCAAGGTGACCATCACTCACAAACTGCATCCAGAGGAAAGGCTATCCGAAGTTCAGATGGGGAAAATCAAAGTAGCCATCATGACTACTTTGGATAACCAGTGTCTGCAGGAAGATAAAGCCTTATGACGGTTGCAACGTCGTGGTACTGGATGGCGACGACATGCCCAAACAATATGTCTGCGTCACCAACGTGTCAAAGGACGAGACAACCGTCAGTCTCTCCAGGGACAAATTTCTAAGTAGGATACGGAAGCAAAATCCCAGCCTCAAGATGAGTTCCTGGAGGGTGCTGAGGATCGATAAGGAAAAGGACGGGGGCTGCTCCATCACCTTTTCCGTGGATGATTCCAGATTGGAAGATCTACGGAAAGCGGAGTAGAAAGAAAATGCTCTCAAATTGCTGGCGGCAGGGCAGGACAAAATAAAAAACCAACGCCCACCGCGACAACGACGAGCACTTCAGGCCAACCAAAAGAGCCATAACTCATTGGAAAGTCTGAAGTCACTCCGAAAACGGCGGAAACGGAAGGACCATCGGGCACGCGCCCGATACAAGCTTCCCGGGGGAACTAAAAGGGCCCCAGCCCATTGGGAACACCGATACTGCTCCGGTATTTGCTGTTGGAGGGGCTATTGTGGCACCTAGGACGGCAAAAGAGGCTGTGGCAGGGCAGGCGCCCATCAAGATGCATAAAAAGGCGGCAATGGGAAGCAAGGCTCATGTAAAGCCTTTGTCTAAAGGGCCAAAGCCCATAGACAAGAGCCGGAGGAAATGATGTGGCTGTGAGGTGCATCCAAATAAATCTACAGTGATGGATCAGGTTACATAGTGATGGATCAGGTTAAGGATCTAACAGGTGAGCTATTGTATGATAATACAATTGGGGGCAGGCCTGCGGCTTGCATTTTGTTTAGTAAAAGGCTAACGTATTTTCCCATTCCAGATTACTGTTCTAAGGATCAGGTGGCTGCGTTGGTGAAAGTGAAGTCGTCCGGGGCCTGGACAGAGTTCATTGTTTGCTCATCCTACCTCCCGGGAGACGGGAGCCCACTCGGACGAGCAACTGAAGGATCTAGTGGACTTTTGTGGAAGGAGGAGCTTCCAACTTATAATATTAACTGATGCCAATGCCCACCACACCGTCTGGGGAAGCAGTAATATAAACAAAAGAGGTGAGTTCCTACTTGAATTTATATATAGCAATAAATTTATGGTTACGAATGAGGGCAATAGGCCGACATTTATAAATACAATTAAGGAAGAGATCGTTGACATCACCCTTTGCACTGAGTTTATCGACAGTAGGGTTGGTGGATGGCATGTCTCAAATGAGACATCCATGTCCGATCATAGGCAGATTAGGTTTGATATCATGGTCTCCGGGGGCCTGGCAAAAGAAATGTATCGGGTACCCCAATCCACATATTGGAGTCAATTCGAAACACTCCTCATGGATGGGATGGGATCCGTTCCTGCTTCTTTCAGAACATTGATGGATATCGAACTGGCCAGCGAGGCTCTGACGACGGCTATTACTAGTGCCTAACATGGGAGCTGCCGCGCTAAGCCGAGGCGGAGCAATAGGAAGTGCCCGTGGTGAATTGAAGAGCGTTCAAGGCTTAGACTAAAGACCAGAAAGCTATTCATTAAGGCCAAGACGGCGGGTTCGTGGGAAAAGTATAAAGACTCACTCACGAAATACAATAAAGAAATTAGGAAAGCGAAGAGAATTTCGTGGAGGGCGTTCTGCAAGGGCATTGATGAACTCTCCAGAAATGCGCGTCTTCACAGGGTGCTTTCCAAAAAGTATGCAAGCGTGTTGGGCCTAATGGAACGACCTGATGGCTCCAGGACTGAGAACGGAGAGCAGACATTGGAGCTTATGGCGTCAACGCACTTTCCTGACTCGGAGATTTTTCGGAATCACTCAAATGCGGTCATTGAACCGAGAACATCCTGGCCCAGGAGGGATGACTGGCAACGATCCCGTCTGGTTTTCACGATGGGCAGGATTAGATGGGCTGTTTTCTCTTTCAGGCCCTTCAAATTTCCAGGTGATGATGGGATATATCCTGCATTTTTGCAGAGGGGTTTCGTGCCAGTGTGGGGTTACATCCCTCAGGCATGGAGGGTGGCTAAAGTGAACTGTATTCCGAAGGCGGGTAAGCGACCAAGCAACCAGCCAAGGTCTTTCTATCCAATTAGCATTACTTCTTTTCTATTGAAAGCAATGGAAAAAGTGATTTATAGATTTATACGGGACGATGCACTGGGAAGCGATCCCCTGCATGAATATCAGTACGCCTATCAGTCGGGAGGGTCTACTGTACTCGCTCTGCAGATTCTGGTGGGGGTCCTTGAAAACTCACTGGAAGTGCGGGAGGTGGCAGTTGTCTGCTTCCTTGATATAGAGGGAGCTTTTGACAACACCCCATATCATGTCATCAGTGAGTCGTTGCACAAACGAGGGACTGATGCGACGACTAGCAGATGGGTTAATCGGATGCTAGAGGATAGGATTATTAAATCCACCATAGCTGACAATATACTTTTCATCTCCGCTGCAAAAGGGTGTCCGCAGGGCGGGGTTCTTTCGCCCCTTCTGTGGTCCATTGTAGTGGATGATCTAATCGCTGCTCTCAGGGGCTCCAGAGCACGTGTCTGGGGATACGCCGACGATGTGGCCTTCCTCATACGGGGAAAATGTGAGAGCACTATATCTGACCTTATACAGCAAAATTTACGTGTTGTGGAAAGGTGGTGCAAAGGCGTTGAGTTAAATATAAATCCAAGCAAGAGCACTTTGGTCGCCTTCACCAGACGCAGAAGCAGGGACAGATTAACGAGCCCAATTCTGTTTGGTGAACGTATTAGTTACTCGAGGGAGGTGAAATATCTGGGGGTAACTTTGGATGATCGTCTCTCCTGGAATACCCATATAGATAGAGTTATCGAGAGGGCTATGGCGGCCTTGTGGACGTGTAGGAGCTTCACCGGGGGAATCTGGGGAATTAGTCCCAGAATAGCACTGTGGCTATATACGGCCCTTGCTAGGCCCATCGACACCTATGCGTCGATTGTATGGTGCCGTAAGGCTCAGCAGACGGGTGTGCGGGCCAAGCTGGAAAAGCTACAGAGGCTGGCCTGCCTTGGGAGTTACCGGGGCAATGCGGACGGCTCCTAGCGCTGCATTGGAGGTGATGATCGGGTTACCGACTTCTCTCTGGCGAGGACAGGGCAGGGCTAAAGTTGGCCCATAGAACTCACAGAGGCTTCATTGAGAGCGATCCGATTCTAAGAATAACCATGTCGGATACCTGTCTGCCGCGGTACAACTTCGACCACAGGTACAGGGTTCTGTTTCCCGATCGATGGACGTGGGATCGGGGTGGCCCGGCACTTGAGTCGGGTTTGAGCGTGTAGTATGCGGACGGGTCCAAAACGGAGTCGGGTGTGGGTTCGGGTGTATACGGTGTCCGCCCGGACACGTTTGTATATGCAACCCTTGACCCGTATTGCACAGTGTTCCAGGCCGAAATACATGCAATGGAGATCTGTCTGAGAATCAATTTAGAAAGGGGGTATAGAAACCTTACCATCTATGTGTTCTCGGACAGCAGGGCTGCACTGCTGGCGCTTCGTTCAGCTCAGGTTACATCCAAGCTGGTCTGGGACTGCCTTGTTGCACTTATGGAATTGACATCGGAGAACAGAGTCACGCTCATTTGGGTGCCGGGCCATAGTGGCCATGCGGGCAACGAAATTACCGATGGGCTGGCGCGGAGGCGATCTGGGGCAACTGGACGGGGATAATATAGGCGGGAGCGTGGGGGGCCACAATAAGTCAATATGGCTGCGGTGGCTTGGGGGGTTACTCCCGTCCCACTCAGTTCCCTTGGAATCTACAATCTACAATCTACCTTCCTTATCCTCTTTTGTCTTTTCTGAAACGGTGACGTCGCTTACATTTTTTGACTAAAACGAATTAATTATGCTGCTAATTTCGTGTGGATTCAAACCCTCTTGATAAAGCCGGGAAATCAAATCTGTTTTCAAGTTATATTTTGTTGACATATTTCTATCCTGTAAAATATGTTGTAACTGGTTAATTGTTAACCTCTACAAAGGTTCCATAAAATATGTATAGAATTATAAAAACCAATTTACATGTACATAAAATTTAAAGTAGCGAAATTTATTTTTTTTTTTGACTCTTTAGAAATTCACATTATAGATAAACAGTTTTATCTTATAAAAAAATATATTCTAATCGTTCATAACTAAGCACATGTAAAATTATTATAAAAACGTTCTTAACTGTTTTTCTAGCTTTGTATTACTTCTGACACCATTTTGTAAATGTTTAAATAAAATATACATAATTAAATGTGTTTTTATAACATTTTATTTACAAAGTATTCTGATTATCAAGAGATATAAGATAATAAGCCAAATTATTATTTAAAAAGAATTATTGACTTTCAAAATGACTACTCAGTAATTAATTAAATAAAGTGCATTAAGTTTCGAAATTCTAAAAAAAAGTTAGTTTACTTTACTTTACTTGACCACGCTGAATTCGTAACTAACACAATTTAATCAAAGGCAAATTTAGAAAAGTATGAAAATTATTAGATTAAATAGAAAGAGAACATAATATACGAAATAGTAACTGCACTTTCTGAATTAACTTGTACAGTGATCCCACATGTATGTTCATATGAATGTATTAAAAGTTAGCACTTTACAATTTTTCGCTTGGACCAATAATAAAGTTGGGTCAAACCAATGGTTTGTATTGTAGCACTTTTCCCTTCAACAAGTTAAAATCCTGCTTTTAAAAACACTCTATGTATATCTACCACACTATTAAAATTATTTTCATTCATAAACGATACTATTTCTAGGATTGCATATATTTAGGATGAACGATTTATGCAGTCTTTGAAATAAAGCAAAAATTAATATAAAAAGGGGTTAACATAATGCTCGATTTTAAGGGTTAATTGTGTGAGTTAAGAAAAATAATTATATTTTTTAATTTCATGGAATTTACCGTTAGCTTTTTGCGTTTATAAAAATTTGGAAAAGCTTGCGGTTTCGGAAATATAAGGTGTCAAAAATTCAAATTTTACGAATTTCAAGAGGCGATAACTTGAGAGGGGGTGGAGATGGAAAAAAATTTTCTTCTAACGAAATGAATTCTTTGTTAATGTCTAAAAGCTCCTAAAATTTCAAAGTTCTTCAGGCTGGGGTCTTGAAGAAAAATGACATCAAAAATTTGGAAAAAAACGACTTAAGATAACGGTAAATTTGAACGGCCATTTTGTTTTTCTAAAGTTTAACTGTAGTATACCGCGCTAGGGGAAGCAAGCCACTGTCTTTCTGCGTTTGCAAAATTTCAAAAATGCTTATGGTTTCATTGCAACAAATAGTTAAAATAGGCCATTTTTAGTGTTTTGGGGGGGTATAACTTCTAAAGGGGGGGAGATAGGTAAAAATTTTGTTCCACGGAAATAAGTTTCTAGTAAAGATCTATATACGTATTAAATTTCGGCTTTCTATCTTTAAGAATGTAGAAGTTTTGTAAACAGACACACGGACAGACGGACGGACGGACGGACGGACCGACGGACGGACGGACAGACGGACGGACGGACGGACCGACGGACGGACGGACGGACGGACAGACGGACGGACGGACGGACGGACGGACGGACAGAGTGAAACTAATAAGCACTTTTTTTCAAAAATTTTTTGGAGAAGTGCTAAAAATAAAATTCTAACCACATACGTACATACATATATTATATTCTGTATGTACACTTTTTTAAAGCTTGGTGACGAAACATAATATTGAAAACAACAACAAATGCAGCATTATAATTCAGATGCCACAAAACATATGATGTCAGTAGTATAATAGTACTTCTCCTATTGATTTCATATATAAAAATAACGTGAGTGAATGAAAGGCTATTTCCCGGTAGCACTTCTACGAACAATCCAATATACAAAAAAAAAAGCTCGAGCTATTAAAAACAAAAACGATAAAATAAAAAATAAAAATTATCAGCAATGCATTTAGTGAGAATTAAAAAAAAGAGAGAAACTGCGAAAAAAACAACAAAATAAGTTACAATGCAAGTTTGCATGCATTGAAATGTCGATCAGAAAGCATAATAACAGAGATATCGCGAAAATAAAAATATCAATACAAATTCAAATAAAATAGCAATATGAATAGCAATGGAATGTCAGCAAAGTTTCGATGCTGATAATGTATAATTTTAAAAAAAACAAAAATATGCATCGCAATGTAATATGCACAAAGCCACGTTGTTGTTGATGAACAAGCTGAAACAAGAAAGCTTTTGTAACAAAAATCAAATTGTAAAAAAAGAATCACAAAATGAACAGAAAAAAAACCTGAATAAAAAATGTAGTATTTAAAAGTAAGTTAGATTAGTTATGATTTTTTTAAATTAAACTGAAAGTGTACCTATATTAAGAAAACGTAAATTATGAAAATATTTAAAGCAAAAACTTCTTTTCAATGTAATTCTTGCATTAAGATATAAGAGATATTTTTTTTTTATTTTGCAGGCAGTAAGAGGTAGTCGATAACGTTAGCCTTTAACGTTTACAAAAAAAAGATGATAATATCTGAATGCATTATGTTTGTTTTTTTAATACAAAAATAATGAACCTGAAAATATTGCTGTAAATTTTATAAAAAAAAGACAAATTTTTCATTTTTTAAGTTTTTTATTGCATTAAAATATGAATTAGTGATTATTATTTAATTTTAAGGTTAAAAAAAATGTATTTTATTCTTTTTTAGATTTTACCTTAAAATATTACAAAATTAAAATCAGCTTTCTATTCCTCTTCAAAGAATTTCAAAATTGGTGTTTGAAATTCCGTATCGTCTCGCCCCGTCATGACCATTTTTAACTTAGGAGATATGGTGTAATCCGTTATTTTCTTGACAGTAATAAATGCAGAGTATCTGCTCGGTAAAAAATGTTGGTGGGTGTCTGTTTCGAGTAGAACTTTCTTCCCATATTTAGTTTTAATAACAACGGCTTTTGTTATACTGTAAACCTTGTGAAGTTCCAAGTCCTCGCTTTTCATCAAAGGCTTGTATGATGACACATTTGACGCTTCTTTTAACAATTCGTTGAAATTCTAGTTTTGAAAAGAAAATAAAAGTTAGATTTTTCTATAATGTATTAAAAATACAAATAAAATTTTTTGGATTAGAATAACTTACCATTTCAGAAAAATCGGAATTAAATTTTTTTTTTATCGAACGCTCTTAAGTGTTAAAAGTGTTTTATGCTTATTCCTTAGAACAGATGTCTTTTTATACTACAAAGGTGCTTCAAGATGCAAAAAAACTGGAAATGGTTAATTATTTTATGCAACATTAAAATTTATGGTGTGTTTTTGTAATACGAATAAAAAATTTTAAATGTTATAAATTATGTGTATTCTAATCGATTTGTTTAATTTACATTTGTGATTTCCCTCCTTAAAAAAATAATTTTTTCTTAAATGGAATTAATATACCCCAATTAAGTTAAGAAAAATGTTTGGTATAAAAGCAGTAGGATTTTTGTCTTTTAAATATCAGTATTATTTTGATTTTACGAAGTCAACTAATTTTGGTAGAATACTACAAAAGACAACCTAAGTTTAAAGTTCAGCTGAGTCTGGCTGAACGGTATTCTAATTTAAAAAGTTGATTAAACGTTACTTTTTCTTTTTAAAAAAGTTGCTTGAACGGTCTTGTTAAAAAAGTGTTCAGTAATTTTTAAATTATTATTTTATTTCAAATTATTACTGAAGTTTTAAAGAAATAAAATTTGTGAGACAAATTATTTGTGCTTTTTTTTTAAAAAAAATGTTTGATGAACTAACTCCAGAGCAAAAAAAATACTTTTGCAAGCCTGGAAAGAGTTAGATGAATGTTTTAAAAGAAACAATCATGATATAAAACAGCTTCCTCACACGGATGAGGAAAGAAAAAATTACTTTAAAGATTTTACGGAAGAAGAATGGAAAGCTTTTTCCGAACTAAAAATAAGTGATAAAAATGAATAAACCGAAGTAAAAAAAGAAAACAAAATATAAAAAAAGTACAAAAACAGAAAAAAATAAGAAAAATAAAAAAAATAAAGTTAAAAAAAGAAGGAATAAAAAAAGAAAATAAAAATAAAAATTTATATTTAATTTTCACGCAGAAAAAAAGGATTTCCAGTACACAAAAGGTGATTTTTGTAAAAATATATTGAATTGTTTATTAATATTAAAAATCTTTATTAAAAATAAAGTATAATAGTATTTTGTTACAATATACCTAGTACTTCAAAAAATAAAATAATGTTTAGTGCACATAAGATTGATGTGAAATTTTTTTTTTCCACTTTTCCCTGAAATTACCAAATTCTTAAATATAATAGTAAAAACCAAATTTTGAAATATCTTAGTTTAAAATTTTACTTTTTTTTAGAAAAAAATAAATTACAAAACAGACAAATTAAAAAAATGGATCCGGTAAATAAATTAATTTTAAAAAACTTACATTTTCTGTATTAATTAAATTTTTTTATTTTAGATAAATTTAATAGAAACATTTTTTATTAAATTTTCCGAGTTTGTGACCGATTTCACAAACAATTTTATTCTAAGGAAAAGAAATGCTGAGCAGCCTGCGTCCAACCATTTGGAAGAAGAGGTCGGGGAAAACATTGATTCAATTTCGGAAGCGGAAAACATTCCTCAAAATAATTTGGAAAACGAAAATATAAAAAAAGGAGAAAGTTCAAATTTGGTAAACGTTATACACCACATAGAAAAGTTCAATAAAAAATTTGGTGTAATAACTAAGGAAATAACTTTTAAATTTAAGGACTTTGACGATGAAAAGGAATCTTTGTTTGACCACTTGAATAAGTGTTTCAAAAAATTAATTATGATTGTAACACAAGGTCGTGACAAACAGGATTTAATTGGACTCAAAATAGCTATTCCAAGCATGGAAAATACAAAACCCATCGGTTTGAGTTTTAGAAAAATTGAAACTTTAGATTCCAATTCCATTTTAGATTTGTTTTCATCGGTTTCCCAATCAAATACCAATTACATGATTACTGATTTATTAGAAATATTCGCTACAATTGTGCAAGTACCATCAGGAAAGGGGCGTGTTAAAATATCATTTTTATCAGATACTGAAATTTAGAAAAAAAAGGAAGAAGTATTGTTGATAAAGGGAAAACTAATGATAATACATGTTTACCGCGATCTATATGGGTTGGTAAGATTCTCGCTGATCAAGTTAGTGATACAATCAAAAAAAAATATTTAAGAAAAAATTCGAAAATACTAAACTGTAAAGTAAAAATGTTATGTAATAAAGCCAAAGTAGATATTAATGAAAAAAATGAGTGCGACATTGGGGATATTTTTAAATTTCAGAAATATTTAAAAAATTATAATATATTTTTATACAAAAATAAAAAAGATTTCAACGAAAAAATTATTTTTCGCAATACTAACCTCAAAAGAATAAATTTGTTTTATTTAGAAAATATGAAGCATTTTATAACTATAAAAAATGTTTGTAAATTTTTTAGCAAACAATACGAATGTAAATTTTGTTTCACATTGTATGACAACAGCCACATTTGTCCACTAGAATGTAAATATTGCTTAAGAAATCCTCCTTGCGATTTTGTAAATGACAATTTTATAAAGTGTATGGATTGCAACCGTCGTTTTAGAGGTCAAATATGTTTTGCAAACTACAAAAAATTAAATTCCTATAAAAACTTTTCTGTATGTTCGCAAATACAAATTTGTCAGAAATGTTTTAAATATTTTGATTTGCAAAAACGAAAAAATATCTGCGATGAAAAATATTGTTCAACATGTGGAAAATTTGTTGAAAAAGATCACTTGTGTTACATACAAAAATATAAAAAAAATCCTCCTAAACATTTCTTTATAGTTTTTTTCGATTTAGAATGTACACAAGAAACAAAAAAAAAACCGCATTTTTACATGAACCTAATTTATGTGCTGCACACTTAGTTTGCAATTTATGTTGGAAGGAAAATGAAAGTAATTTTGAATGTATGAAATGTAAAAAACGGACATACATTTTTGAAAATTGTGCTAAAGAAACATGCATAACAAAATTTGTAAATTTTCTCTTAAAAATTACTACAGATCAATCAAGAAAAATTTGTTGTATAGCACATAATTTCAAAAGTTATGATGGGCAATTTATTGTAAGTGAACTTTTACAAAGAAATAAGACAGTGGTACTAATTATGGGAGGAAATAAAATTTTGAAAGTAACTTTTAATCACAATATTATTTTTATAGATTCCCTTAATTTTTTACCAATACCTTTGTCCAAATTTACTTCAGCTTTTGGTCTTGATAAAAATGAGGTTAAAGGTTATTATCCTTATTTATTTAACACGAAAGCAAACTATAATTATGTTGGAGAAATTCCAAGCACTGAAATGTTTGCTTTGAATAATTTTAACTCACATGAGCTAGAAAAATTTTATTTATGGTACAACAACTTGAAGAAATCAAATTATGTTTACAATAACAGAGAAGAGTTAATAAAATATTGCATCCAAGATGTAAATGTATTACGTCAGGGATGCTTAAAATTTATGAATGATTCCCTTCAATTATTGAATATTAACCCTTTCTTTGAAACCTTTACTTTAGCACAAGCTTGTTTGACTGCATACCAAAAACATTTTCTAAAAGAAAACACCTTAGGTGTAACTCCCATTAACAATTATAGTAAAAAAAAAAATCAATCTTTAATTGGCCTAATGTGGCTTGAATTCAAAAATTAAGCTAGCTGTGGTAAAATTAAATATGAATATGATTTACCAGATTGCAACTTTACAGTAGACGGCTTTAATCCAAACACAAATACGGTTTATGAATTTTTAGGATGTTTTTACCATGGATGCGAAGACTGTTTCTTCGATAGAAATTTAGTTGTCCATGGATATAAAATGCAGGCTAGGTTTGAAAATGCTATGTGCAAAATAGCAGTTTTAAAACAAAGTGGATATAATGTGTGCTGTGAATGGGAATGTAAATTTAAACAATTTTTAGAAATCAATCCAAAAATAAAAATTGATTTAAAAAATACTTCTTTGATTTTACTCAACTCAATTGATGCTCGAGGTGCTATTTTTGGAGTTCGCACCGAAGTATTTAAATTATACTATAAAATCCAAGCAAATGAAAAAATTTGCTACTATGACTTCACTTCCCTCTACCCATATGTAAACAAAAATAGTAAATATCCAATAGGACATCCTAAAATTTATAATTCTCAAGAATGTTTACAATTTGAAAATGATATCAGTAAAATAGACGGTTTAATTAAATGTGCGGTTCTACCACCGCAAAACTTATGGCTGCCAATCTTACCAATCCGCGCTAACAACAAAATGTTGATGGTTTTATGTCGCTCTTGCGCGGAAATGGAAAATGTGTTGTATAAATGTACTCACAACGATAAAGAAAGAATGTTTTTTGGCACATGGACGGATATGGAATTAAAATTAAGTGTGAAATACGGGTACACAATAATAGAAATACATGAAATTTGGCATTATGATTGCGAAACTTATGATTCAATATCTAAAACAGGTGGACTTTTTACTGACTACATGAATTATTTTATAAAATACAAGACTGAGGGTTCTGGTTATCCAACTGGTATACAAACTAAATCTGAACAAGACGCATACATAAAGAATTTTTTTGAAAATGAAGGTGTGATGTTAGATAAATCAAAAATTGCTCTCAATCCTTCACTACGAAATCTGGCGAAACTAAAATTAAATTCATTTTGGGGAAAACTAATACAACGAAATGACCGTCATTCAACAACTGTTGTACAAACCATCACACAATTTCATAATTTAATACATTCAAGCGGTATATCAGTATCGGACATATTTACTGCCAGCGAGCACCAGGTGTGGATCAACTGGAAATACAATTATCCTGAATTGAATCCCGTTCTCAAAAATCAATGTTTAATAGTTGGAGCTTTTACGACAGCGCATGCTCGATGCTTATTGCATAATGAAATAACCAAAATTGGAAAAAATCTTTTGTATTGCGATACGGATTCTATGATTTTTGTTCAGCATATGATAATGAGTATGACTTAAAGACAGGTTGTCAAATGTCTACAAATACATTTTTGCGCGATTACTAACAATTTTTTTATTGTTACAGGTACTTTAATTGGAGATTTAACTAATGAATTTACATCATATGGAAAGAATGTTTACGGCACAGAATTTGTATCAACAGGACCCAAAAGTTATTCATATCGTTATTATAACCCGGATACTGACAAATACGGAGAAGTTGTTAAATGTAAAGGAATAACAAGTAATAAAAATGGAACATCACTAAATTTTGAGCACATGAAACAAATAGTTACCGATCCTTTTGGAAGCAATAATTTGTATTTCGTAACACCAAACAAAATTAAGCGTAAGAAACATTTTCACGTTACTTCAGAAGATGAAAAGAAAACATTTGGCTTTACATTTACGAAACGTGCTTGCCGTGATAATTTTGAAACAATTCCTTATGGTTTCTTAAACAGTTAAAAAAAAGGTAGGTACACATAAAAATTTTGTATATAAATTCGTGAGTTTAAAATAATAAAACTTCACTTTTATTTTTACATGTACCGAAGAAACATGGCACAAAATGTAATAATAGCAGATCTACAATTTATAGTCGGAAGTAATAATGAACTTTACCTAAAAGAAATGGCAACGATTGATACCAACTCAATTATCTCAAAATTATACCACTTTAAACCTCCGTATCGTCAGGAAAAACTAGATTCAGCAGCAATGGGGCAAAACGCATACAACCTAAGACATGTCAACGGTTTGAATTGGATTGATGGTAATATTAATTACAGTGAAATTTCTACAATCATGGGAAGTTTTTCGTCTTACGATAAAGTTTATGTAAAAGGAGTTCAAAAGAAAACGTTTTTGGAAAAATATTTGCTACCCCAGGTTATTAATTTGGATGATTAAGTACCACCTTTAGATAAATTAAAAAATTATGAATCATTCTGTGTAATTCATTTGAAATCTGACACTCATAAAAAGCGTTGTGTATTTAATAAAAACAAATGTAATTTGATTTAAAAAAAATGTTTTTTTATTTTGGTATTATATTAATATTACATGTTATGGAATCATTACATAAATCCAAATTATATAAGTAACAAAATATTTGTTCTGCCATAAAGATTGGCACCTCATAGAATAGTCTGCTATATCTACATTGATAAGATGAAAACTGCATTGGTATGTAAAAATCTTAATGTGATAGTTTAATAACTCCTTTTTCTTTACATTTTGTAAAGTATTTATGAATGTATTCTGCAATAGTATCACTAGCATTGTTATTGTATGACATTACAGCTTGTATGAAATCCAACATTTCGTTCAATTTCCAATACTCTTCTTGTCGAATATCAAAAGTAATTTTATCTTGTTGATTGAATTCCAAAATGTTGCAAAAAGGTTCACTTTGTTGCTGATTTTCGTTAGTGATCCGAGCAGATTCCAACATTTTGGCTTTTTTGTAAAATGAGTGCCAATCATCATAGAGGACATGGACAGATCTTTTGCCATTTCGATGAAATATTATTTTTGACTGGAAAGTGTCGCAGTCGAATCCAATAACTATCTTACATGTTTGTTTCGTGTTTAGAAAATATATGTAAGAAAGTAACAAATTTTCTTTTTCCGGTAATATTTTCTTTTCTTTTTTTGTTGACATTTTTGATGGAGATGTTTTTTTTTTTAACGGCATTGTAGAATCAGAAGCGCTAAAACTGAATAATTATTTCCAAGCACAGAGCTTTGTATTTATACTCTTGACGTAAAACTTTAGTGCTGTTGTGAAATCGGTTTCTGGCATATTTGTAAATAGTTCTTTGTTTGCCTTTGACGTCCGAAAATTTTTGAAAACAATTTCACAACCGTTTTGTCATTAAAGTTGAGATTGTTGCTATTGAATATATCTAAAAACGTTGACATGCTATGACCTTTACATCTGTACCACAAATATACGCAGCAATATTGTCCACAAACTTCTGAAAAGTCGCCTTGTAATCTTTTGTAATTTCAGACAGTATATGAATTCTTTGAAATTCTTCTTAGAAAATGTTGTAGTTCTTTATAGGAAGGTGCTTGACCATACGAATCAAAATACTCGACAAAACCATTTGTGGGTATAAAGATACATACCCAATGTTTACCTGGCTTAGTATGAACATCTGTATTTACTACTATAATTGCGGGTTTTTGAACATGTTTAGGAAGCTTATCAAGAGGAAAAACTCCTTTAAAAAACTTTTTTGTTTGCTGATTGCATGACAATACATTTTTAATTTGAAGAGAATCCATAAGAGTTATTTAGTTGTCTTCTCCAAAAGAAGTAAAATCATAAATTTTTGTGTTTCCTTTTAAATAGTGTTTTAGAAAATCCTTGTTAATACGGCCATTCGTTAAAATAATATCAAATTTTTCCATTAATGCGGCAAGTTCCTTATCTGCTTGGTTATTATATATGTTTCCAAATTTATAGCCTTCAGTAGCACTTGGTTTAAGGGCTTTTGTGGGAAATTTGTATTGTATTTCTTTAGCGAATACTTTACAATTTTCTTTTATTCCTAGTAGCGTAACATTTTTAACAAAGACAAAATCTTTATCATCGGAACAAAATGTTAAATCAATGAGTGCATAAGCTTGTTTAGACATGTTTGCTATGGAGAGTATAATACTTGATTGTTTCATAATAAGTAAATGTTGAGCTTTTTATAGATTTGCATACACGTTCCGATTTTTATCTATTTGTACGTTCGCATCAAATTCCCCATAAACTAGAGCTGTAAGTGTTGATGAAGTTGATTTCGATAAACTTGCCTCAATTCGTACAGTTCCTTGATTAAGTAAACCTTGACATACTTCATTACCTGATGCATCTGGGGTTAAATCAAAAGCCAATAAAAAGAAACCATTTGTAAACATAGATTTCGTTATTTGATGACCTCTGTCGTTATGATAAATTCCTGTTCCAGAGAATAATGTATGGTAAGCTCTTGTGCTGCAGTTATTATCGTCAGAAAAACTTGTTTCTATTGCTGCATTTGGTACTTGAACACCATTAACATAAAGCATGAATTGTGAAATATCAAAATGCTTAAAATTGTATGGATTTTTTGATCGTTTCCCGGAATACCCCGAATTTTCGGTCATGCAAAAGATAATTGTGTTTGGTAATTGACCAATGAAAACATTGTCTAGTGAAATCGATGAGCTGTTGCTTGGAATTGTGAAATTTTTGACTTCTACTCTTTTATAATGATATTTAGCATTTGCTTTTTCCAAAACTGCATTATGGGCTAATAATACGCTAGGATTTATAGTTACATGTCTCATAAATAAATTGGCTTCTACAATTTTTAGTTGCGATTCATCCGAGTCGTATGCAAATAAGAAAAAATCTGGTTTTTCTAATGTGAATAGAATTCGAATATCAACATGGTTTATTAGAAGCGTAGGTTGATTAAACATATCGACATGGAGTTTTCCCATGAGTTCAACAATATTACTGTTATGATATAGTTTTTGACGTTCCTTTGAACCATTATTGTCAGATCTAGCTATATTCGGTTTATCTAAAATCCATCCAGCGCATTCCAAATGAGTTGTTGCAGCATCAGTTCCATAATTTAACAATGATTCAATATAAGCTCTATAATGGTAATTTCCATCTGACGGAGTGATATTTTTACGATTGAGTTGTACATTGCACTGCTTAATTATAGAATGTAATAGATTATTCACTACACTGGGTTGTTGAAGGATTTTTCCATCTGCAACCTTATCATCATGCCACGGTGTTCCATCTTTTTTTAAAATTTGAACTTTCAGTTTTAGATATGTTGAAGACAAATCCCTGTATGTATCACCATGACCTAATGAAACGAATTCTATTGTTGAGGGACTATCCAGAGAAGCAATAGGATTGTATGAAACCTCTTCAGATTTTAGAATGCTTGCTTGTATTGGTGGACTTGTAAATAAATCTAGTTCTGATTTCATACATTCGTTCATTTTATATTTTAATTAAATATATCTCGTTTTTCTCGTTTTTGAATTTTTTTCCTTTGTTTACTCTTAGCTTTGCGTTTCTTTTGATTTGAATGAGTTAATGTAGTTGAGTGAGTTCTTTTTATAGCTCTTCTTCTTCTTATACTGCTGCCATACATTTCATTTAGTTTGTTTACAGCTCGACGTCTTATATTTTTTAATGCTTCTTTCCCTCTATCTTGCAATACTTCTTTTGGATTTGCTCCGGAAATAATATCAGATAATGCATTAATGCCGGTGTCTAAAGATTCTTTTTTCACTAAATTCAAACCGGATGATATAACTGGTTTTAAATATTTAAACAATCCTCCAAAGAAACTTCCAAGTCCTCGTCCTCTTTGATATTGCACACTTGAGTGAACTAAAGGTCCAATGTCGTCAGTACCCCTACCACTTTGTACTAAATAATACTTGTAATATGAACGGTTCATCATATAAGAATAAATAACATGAGCTTGTTGACTTATTTATATCTTTTGAAGTGTAATACAATTTTGGTGGGCATGTTGCTTCTAGAAAAATTTAAATTATATCCGTATTTGTCACATAGCAAAATTGAAATGCTTTCAAAACTGTCTTTTTGAATATTACAATACTGAACTTGGTCAAATTGTGTTACGAAATCTATAAATGGATTTGTTGTATTAATAGTTCTCATACATCTTGCCATTGTATCACCAATATATTGCGGTTCTATTATATCCGTATAAACAAACACCATATCAGTTTTAGTTTCTGGAGAGGTTACTAACATATTTGTTATATTTTGATATGCTTCAATAAATTTTGATTTATATTTTTTAAGTTCTTTTTGTACAGCAAGTTGTTGAAGACATGTTTTCAATAAAAATTTTACTGTATACCCAGTGCCAACAAGTATTCGTATTTCAGCCGAAGGCCTTTCAATGCATAATTTTATGTATTCTGTATGTGTAGTATCTATCTTAAATTTGTTATCCAAAACATAATTAGCATCATTTGAAATGAAATTATAGATTTCCCATATTAATTGTTGTTCCACTTCTTTTCTTGTGTATCCCGGATTTGGTGAAATATTTTGAAACAGTGTGGGTAATAAAAGCGTTTTCCAATCGCATCGCAATTCGTTTTCATTATAAGGAATATAGGTTTTTCCAATACCGATGGAGTTTTTTTCCGTTGTTCCAATAAATATCACAGCAGCCTTTGCGTAAACTTCTCCAAATATGTTTGGAATAAAATTGTTCATAAAAAGTTCACAAATTCCTACTTTCCACTTATTTTTCTCTAAATTCAAATGTTTTGGTAATTTATTTGTAAATTTTGATAAAGTATTTTCGGGATAATATTTAATTGATGCGTCACTCAACAACGTTATATAAAAATCTTCCCCATTAGGTTCTATTTGAAGCGTGTCCATTGTTGCGTAGATACACTAGAGGCAG